GGACCTGATGAGCTCCCTCCCACTCTTTTCAAGATAGTAGGTGATTATCTCGTAACCTCTATTACCACCCTACTGTGCAACATTTGGATGCAAGAGCACATTCCATCATCTTGGGGCGAATCACTGATCGTTCCCATTTTCAAGAAAGGCTCCCGCAACGATTGCGAGTGTTAGAGTCAGAGAATCTTCTACTGAACACAAACATTTCACAGCATCATCTAAGGTGGCTGGGGCACGTCCCTCAAATACCTGAACCGCGTCTACAATACCGTACGCTATTTGCAGTCATTGGTCCGGTCTGGAAGACACGGCGAGGTGGGCAGGCTATGGCGTAACGTAGAGGGTTGAAGAGATTATGTTCGGATTTGGCTTCCGGCCAGGGCCCCAAAGATTAAGATTTTCTTTGGCTGTAGACTGCGGGATACGGCATCGAACCGCAGTCAGTGGCGTGAATGCACCCTTTCCTGTATGAGATCGAAAAAGTAAAATAAGCAACAAAATCAAATCAAAAAGGAGTGCGGTAAACAAGCAAACGAAGTTGTTATCCCTTTTCCGTTTTTATATTTCGCGTTCAACTCAGGGTTACTTTGGTGCCATATCTGTCAAGATTAGTGTTGTATATATTCATATATTATCTTAGAATTAACTTCTGGGGCCCAGCGCTCGATTGATCGATTATAGAGCCTTTAACTGGGTCGAAAGTCGCTTTCAGATCGAGGAAGACACAGTAAGTCTACGAAAGAATTGCCTGTGTTCCAGAATTTGTCGAAAAGTGAATATTTGGTCTAAACATCGTCGATCAGGTCTACAACAAGCCTAATTTTCCCACGGCAGGCAATCGACGGAGTGTAATGTCAGTGAGAAGTTGAGAGTGTTGATTGAGTACCTGGTGCCTCCTAAAGTTCGAATGGGCTAATCCAAGCTTGCTGCTCTTAATTGATTGAGCCATTCGCACAAGGTGATGGCCGTCGACCATGTAGCTCAGGGGTAAGGGTTTGAAATCCCGAACCAAATGTTCGCGGATCGAGTCCTGACAGGGACACAAAAAGTACGCACTGCTGAAGAGTCCGAAACAGGATGAAACAGCTGTCCAATGCTCTTTGTCGGTTATCATAAACATTTCCATCACATGCAAATGCATGAAATTGTGAGGAATTACTGATCTCCCAAGAGTGCCTGGTGCCTCTTAACCATCGAACGGGCTAATCCAAGCTTGCTACTCTAAATTGATTGTACTAGTTCCCCTGTGGTTTTCACAAGAAGATCTGTGATCTGTAAATCGGCAAGTTGACCGACCATTCAGTATAAACCTGTTCACCTGGCCATAGTGAACCCAAAAGTTTTCTCAGTTCGAGAACCAAGACTGAACCTCTATCTTTAAAAGCCGATAGGAACAGTCCACCCGGGTTGGAGGCATTGTAGCTACTGAGGTATCTAAGTTCTCGTGTAAAGTCCATTTCAGATGGAGGAGGGATATCAACGGGCTGTATTTGCCCGGTTTAAACTGGAACCTCGGACATTTTGGTCCATTACTGAACAGCAGTTCTTCGTGACTGTGGGATTCGCCCCGACTGTTGTTCATCACACACTGGTGTGTAATAATAAAAAAATTGGTAGGTCTATTGTCGACGGGTGCCCGTTGAAATGTTCTTCCCATCGCACAAGATAACGTTACTGCATGCGAGTACGTGTATCTTCCGTCTCCCTATTTGCTTCACGCCCGCTTTTCTGGAACCCATACTCATATTTAGACGAAAAAGATTCCTGCAGACTGACGGACACGGACAACAGCGATATATGAAGCTGACTTATCCTCTCAAAAGAGTTGATCGTTTGAAAGCGAGTACCTCCGGTTGAAAAAATATTGTACTCTAATAGATATGGTTGTATTCGCAGTGTACTTCCTAGATCCGAAAGGGGACTTCCTATAATTTTCATCACAAGCCACAGTTAACCAAAACAAAACATCTGGAGTTGGAATCAGATAATTGACAGTGAAAAACAAGATTTATGTATCATTTGAACATAAGTATATGTTGAGAATCAAGATTCTCAATCATTTTTCAAAAGTTAGTCAAGAATAATGTATTAAACAGTTAAAAAAAGCATCGCATAAACACTTAAAGTTCGCCCATAGTAACCAAAATCCTTGGTCCTGGGATTTGGAGTGATAAACCACACAAAATTTGATTTACCACCGGAGCCGAATGGTTACTGTGGTATATTCAATTTATAAAGGATCGTTCATATCCAATAATCATTGAGAGAAACTTTTGAATGTGCGTTTTTCACTAATTTTCAGCTATTTAACTGGATGTGCAAACGCACTGGGCTCTTACTATGATCCTTGAAATATCTAAGGGCGTCGTAACCCATGTGCAATGAAGTAAGTTTTTTGTTATGCCGTATTCAACACAGTTGTGTTTTGGTGATTCCCGAAAAGCATTTTAAATTTGACATCTTTTCCAAATGTATTTCGTCCCTTGCTACAGATTTAATTACAAAGAACTTGGTTATGGATCACTTCAGTGGAACTCCACTTTTGAAGGCATTCTGCTTTGGAAACAAAAATCCGACTCACGCCGGAAGAAAGGTTATGGTTTGTGCTTTGATATTGTATCAAATAAACTGCTTAGTGTTTACCGAACATTGGTGTCGTTTGAAGGGAAATATTTTAATCCTTTGTCGTAATTCGGACAGAAAGTGTTGCGAAATTGAAGGGCTGATATTTCTGGAACGAGTCACCATAATCCCTACAAACGAAGAAGATGCGCCATATGCATTCAAATTGGGTTGGTTAACGCGTTCGCAGCGTTCATCAATCACACTCACTTTTTAATATTTTAGAATTTGATTCTGGTGATCCACCAATTGTACTTGTTGCCCGATCAGGTCCTGAGGCTGAAATTTGGTGCCAACATATACAGGCTGCTCAGCTGTCTCCAACATTAGAACGGATAGCTGTGATTAGAGACGAATTGAGAAATCTGACTGGAAGTGATCCTCTTGACACTGGGGCAGCTGCGACGCAGGAGATGAAGCGAATTTCTCCCGACGATGAAAGTAAGATGACTGTTTGGACATAAAGTTGTATGTAACTGTTGCGACCTACATACCAGCAATATACCTGGACAGTTACTGCATGTGATTTTGCTCTACAAGGTGTTGTTTTTATTGTCGCCTGTCAAACACCTTAAGTAACTTACTGTATTATCTTCGGTTTCGCTTGTTAGACTTGTTAAAAATGAATTGCAGAGGTTTCACTCTATGATACTTTCGTATTAGGAATAATAGTTAAACCACTGTGCAATGAACGATGGGTACATATCAGCATGCTTTTCTAGTCCACATGTGTTACAAATCAAAATTTATGTATGATCTCCTGGGAACCCTTAACCAGGCCGCTACATCACTACTCATTACCACTAGAGCACCATACTTTACTAGCTCTATCAGTGTTAAGATGTTTTGTCTTAGTTTTTAGTGATTCATATTTTTCAGTTGTAATCAAAAATAAGAATTCATAAGATAATAACAATAACACGCTCGTAGGTGTCCGACAGTAAGCGGGGTATTATGCGATTTCTTACAATATAATTTCTGCTAATCGCATATAATTTCTCGTGATTCACAGGTCATTATGGGAACTACTGTGTGTTTCTCCCTACGTATTCACGCGCAAACCCCCGAGGTGACTAATGTGGGCTGTTTAGGTGGAACTATCGATTGCAAGTTATCGGCGCATGAATCATTTGTTTATCGGATCGTTCTTTTAGGCGTTATAGTTTTTCAAACACCACGCTTCTCCATCTCACATTTATTTCAGTCATGGGATCGACGGACGCCAAGGGCCTCGAACTCAGTTTGAGTAAGTTAACTTGGATTAACTTTATTTTTCGTATTATTTACTAAAATCTGGTAAACGTGCTTCCGTGTGGAATTCACTTTCCTTTTCCATGTTATCTTATCCAAGATATGCTTATTTTTCAAAATCTCAAACTATGATTTATGATAGATTTTATCCCCTTGATGTGCCCTATCAACCCTTTGTGTATTTTTATTCTCATGTTGCAGAATTGACTCATTGGAAGCTTTTATTTATTTGACACTTTACTCTCTGTAATTTTTCTGGTGTTTGTGCGTGTGAATAGATAGCTTGTTTCTGTTAGACTATTAGTTATACATGTGGAGGCAGTCACGGTTGTCAATAAATAATTGCGCATGGCTTTGAGTTATGTGGTTGCTCAAGGTGTAACCAAACGAAGAACTCTACTCATGACTTATTCTTTGAACTTAGTCATATTGGTCAACTGTATTGATAGTAAAATGCTGTCGATTACCACCACTTTGTATAGATGTATCTTTTTCAGTCCCATGAAACCCATTTGATTGGTCGCTTCCCCGTCCCGACGAGCAATGCTGGTTCTAGGCATCGAGTTTTAGTTAATCGCGATCGTCCACTCGAGCAAGTGGTCGACCTCCCTAGATTACGTTGGTTGGGGCATGTGTTACGCACGTCACCAAATAGGTTTCTACGGCGAGCGATGTTCGTCGAGGCAGATAGTGGGTGGAACAAAGCTAAGGGTGATCAAGCTAAGACCTGGCACGATGGCATGAAAACACTAACCAGGAGACTCGGTCACATGGGTCCCGTTAGGCTCCCTGGCTGTGGACCTCGGGATGATAGTCACCGATGGTTAGAGACACTGAGTGATATGGCTGAGTATCGTAAACGGTGGTGTTCGTGCATCTTTTTCAATTTCTTTTTGCAACGGTAATCCACTGAAATTCTCCCTTTTATCTTCGACTCTACTTTGAACCTTCCTTTGTTTCTCCTAGTGTTCATCCAAATGGGCAGCAAAAGACCGCAACGAAAACCAGCGCACGACAGCGCATGGTTAGTGGTTATCCAAAATGAAATTGAACTTCCTGGAAAACTGAATGCAAAATTATCCACTCAATGAAAAAGTGCACCAGATTGTATCATCATCATCATCATGATCATGATCATTGCTTTTAAGGATCATGATTTTCTGTCACTGATGGATGGTATTGTTTTTCATCTTTTGCCCCGGTCATCCATTCTAATACGCAATTAATTCCACGCGCAGCAACTTCCCAGTATCGAAAAAAGGTAAATGAAAATCCAACTAGTTGACCAATAATCCAAAATTTAAGTTTTTATTGCTAGCAAACGATGGAAAACGGTAACCCTACCTGTGGTCATAAGAATCATTCATCGGGTTGTGGAAAAGAACAATCTAAGCCCTGGACGTAAAATTTCCAGTCGGATTGGTCTGGTGCTGATTCTTGCAATAACAAAACTGTCTGCTTCTAATTTTTTCAGTCCTCTATCCGTTACTGAGTGGTATGGCTGAGTGTCGCAAACAGTGGTGCTCGTGCATCTAGTCATTATTCTTGTAACACTGGTCTGTATGCATTCTCTATCTTCCGCTTGAATTTGCTCTCAACATTCCAGTCTTCATTCTGCTCTTTTTTCCAAGTGGGCGGCCAAGAGACAGCAACCAAAACCGGCACACAAAAGGGCATGGTTAAAGGTTGTAAAAACTGAACTGAACTATATCAATTGTATGGGTGAGTGTAAAATGCAACTCGAAACCCAAGGATGAAGGAAGACATTATAGGAAGCGAAATCAATGGGAACAACATCAATGACCCATTTTCATATCCGCTTCAATCGCTGTTAGTCCTGTAATTCGAATTACATTTGATCGATGCATTTTTGTGTTTGTTTCATGTTTGATTGCTTTGCAAACTACGATTTCTCTCTTCGGTTTTCAGGTTTACTAATCTTTCACTGCTTCTTTGAGAATATGCTATTTATATGATGAATTCGTCGTGCAAATGAGGCGTGAGCTGACAAGCTCTTGACAGCTGTTTCCACCTTCTTGGGTCTCATTAACATTGCGAATCCACCAACTCCAGGGTTATGATTCAGTTGGAAACGTTCACAACCTGACTGGTAATATAAAGTGAGCGACGACCGATACTTGCAGCAGGGTTGTGCTACATCGTGTATACTCAAAATGAGAAACGCTAACTAAGGGGGTAGTATGCTTGCTTTCTACTTTCGAGGTCCCGGGTTTGATCCTCCGTTGGGTAGATGGGTTCGCACTGCCAATGAAACCCAACCAGATCGAAACAGATGCCCAGTGCTTCTCAGCTTTTCAGCTCACGCCTAACTTACACGATGAATTCATCCTGTAAACAAATCGAAATCCCTGTTACTTGCATACAATATGCCATTTATATATTACAGAGCTAATGAAGCGTAAACTGAAAATATAGGAAGTTGTGTACAGCTTTTTCGACCTCATTGGGTCTATGCAGTGCTTCTTAGGCTCTCTGTTCACAATTCATTTGTTCTATTAATGGCGGAATACACCATATAATTGAATCAAATTCTCCAATGCCCATGCAATATACTATTTATTCATCAAACTCCGAATACTCACGTTCTTTTGCTTTTCATTTCGTTCCCATCCTTTCCATTTGGAGGTTGCGAAAATCTCACCTCAGAATTTGTTGCCACAGAAGAGGGACCTAACGTGCACGTGGTCGTGTCAGTGTGTACACCTCCAGAAGCCGGTTGGAAGCGTGTTGGAACCACTGAGGTGGTTGAGGTGAGTCGGTCATCTTCAAGAATATTTTTAGCATATTGTTAAACTTCCATTCCGTCTTAACGTTACCATTATTGAGCTTTCGCGGTGTCAATTAAGCTAAATACGCTTTCACTGAATCGTACTGCATCACTGGTTTTCAATCTGAATGTCATCAGTTTCATAGTCTGCGCGATAAACCAGGAGTAAGACAACTCCGCACAGTGTTGATTGTATCGACCAGAAATGGATACGCTATCTTTTGTGACCATACGATGGTTTTACTCATGCAACAATTCCTTTAGTATTTTCGCTTAACTAGATGTTTTGGCAATTCAGATTTTTTGTCGTTGTAATGTAACCTGTTCGTCTCAGTAAACCGATTTAAGGGTGAATTACAGTGAAAAAGCTCATTGTCCTTTATCGTCTTTCGCGGATACAGAATGGTTTTGTTCGCACCAATTGTTGTTGCGATTTACTTGAAACAACGTAAGGTTGAATGTGGAAGCCGAGGGCAAATATATGCGATTATGGTTAATTTCAAACCGCACTTTGGTTTCGTCCTCTGCCAGTTATTTGCCACACTTCAAGGATATACACCCTTATGAATCTGGTTATTTTCAGACCCAGTAGAGGTTACTTCATAGCCATTGTGAAAGCATTGACCAGCTTTGTACGGATTCTGTATTCGTATTTTTCCCACCGCTCTCTCTTATTGCTTCGACTTGGATTTCGTCTCGGAAGAAACACGCGTTTTTCTTTTTTTTTCAAATGGCCGAAACCTAGTTGATGCTTCCGCTAACTTTTCTCCGAGTTCATCGAAAATTGGCATTATTGTTTTTATCTCACCCGTGTGTACGAAGTTCTGTTGTGCGGATATGAGGAGTGCAGATCCAACTCGTGAAACTGAAAGTTTCAAACCATGCATAACCCAAATAAGATGGGTTTGGTGCTGAGCTGTATTTTCTCTTTTTGCTAACTTTGTGGTTCACATGTAATTCTTGTGCACGACTGAGACCCCCTGGTGTGGACATCAGTCTTGGTTTTTTAAAAACTGTAGATTATATGATGCTCCTGAGTCAAGTGTAAATGATAATGCTATTTTGAATTTTTGCAGGAGCAAGTGACTAGAATTTTTCGAACCAACGTTGTCGTTTGGCCTCTTCAGCGCGGTGAGGCCAGGTAAAGCAAAACAACGAACTGCGGCGATGTACACCCTTCCCTTAAGGGAAAGTTGGATGTCATGGCGGAGCTGTAGGTGTCGCAGGTTGATGAAAGCTTCTATAACTTTTATTGTTCGTGATGTGATCTCCTCCTGAACACCACCACTATCTGCGATCAAGTTCCTAAGGCGCCTTAAGCTTTCGACTTTTTAACTGAACGTTGCAGATAGTGAATGCAGGTACAGGCACAGGCTCCTACCAGTCTTCTCTAAGTACTTTGGATGGTGCAAGATACACACATACATACTTACAATACCTCAATCATCAAGCGATTTAAGGCCTACCAGACTATCTGTGCATTGTCAGTCGTCAATGCAACGTCATTGGTATATTCTAGGTAAGAAATATCTTACTCTAAACGATTGCGTGGTCAGACTCGAGGTGAGCGCTCCTGTTCGGTCCCAATGTTTCATGAAATCCCGTCACTTGTGCCTTATATTGATGTGATCGATCTTGGTCCATCACCAAGTCGAAGGTAGCAGACGCCAAGTAGAGATCCTGAAGTTCATACTGGCGAGGAATAGGCGATAGTCAGAATAAAGAGCCAGCAGTTGTTCCCCGTTTTCTGAATAACGGAAATCGAGCCCTAACGACCTTCCCAAATGCGTCTCGTCGGAAGACTGCCTAATTAGTCAGGGATTCATATTTATTGTTAAAATTAAGATATCAACCCGGCTGACTGCAGGAGATTGTGCAGATTTTGACTGCATCTGGACTGCAGTCGATGGGGGTACAAGCTGAGACGACTAATAAATTGCATTTGGTCGGGCTGCAATTGCTTACTTCGCACGTATTTACAAGTCGGCACAGTCGGCTGTTCACTGGAATTTACCATTTCAAAACGGTTGTGGCGTTACAACAGAGAGCCACGCCGACCGCAGCGGGTAAGGAAGCCGCAACCTCAGGGTCCCCAAAACGTGAAATTGAAGAATCACGGATTGGTTCGTCGAGGACGTAAATCAGGTGCTATGGCCGTAGTTTTGTATGTAAGTTTCTAGGAAATATTGGTGACTAGCGTCCTGAGTGGTGTATCTAACCTATATGCATCATAGGTTAACTATGACTATTTTGACGGGAGATCGAGAACGAATAAAAGCATACTCTGGTTTGGTGGCGGATTCGGTGGGATTTTCAGACCAGCAGTGACAGGGCGCTGGAGAACCGAGGTGGGATCTACGGCCATGGGCTTTTGTTAGTGTAGTTGCCTGGAGTTCCCAATTGAAACGTGCGAATGGAGCTGAGTCAACGAGGTAGTAAGGTGTGTGCGTGTGATCTACAATCTTTCACAGTCATAAACCCCAGTACGGTTATTTATTGGTGCAAGAAAGCTCGCACTTGTGTACTCTGTGGGCTGTTGTAGTGCTCCCTCATCCGATCCACAGTATGACAGCAAACACAAAGGAAGACAGGTACGTGTTTCCTAAATAGTTTCATACACAATAACTACACAATCATACTCCTTTGTTTTGGACTTTAGTTGGTGAACTGTATATTCATTTGAACTTACTGTAAGCTGCAGTTTTCTATCCTTTCCGGTTGTCGCGTTATTACTTAAACATTTTCTCTGGCTGCGTTTTTCCAGTCTTCGATTGTTAAAAACTTTTCAATAAAATTAATTTCATTCGACTATCCGACTTTCTCATTCATCTGTGATGCCATTGACGATTTTGTTTTTTGCAGAACTGTAAGAATCCGAAATTTCTCAAAACCGTATATTTGCGTTCCGACATGGTTACGGAAAAGACACGCGTGCAGTTTTCATTGATGGACCTTAGGGATTTAAAATCAAGTATGGTAAGTGGTTCCTTTTTAGCTGATGTATTATTTGCCTCGTGTTCAGTTTTCTTCCATTTCACAAGCAAACTAGTGAAAGCTTCTAAAACAATACAACTGGTGTTTTTCCCCAGACGTGATCACCAGTGGCGTTCATTTTCACTCTTAGTGTATACACCAAGCAATACTTAAATCGGTTTTTGATTATTCATGAATTCCATAGAATTTGAAGCTTTCAGAAAAGAATAAATCAAAGGGGTTGGCTTGGAGATTTTGATTCTTTATCAGCCATGTAAGAGCCATTTAGTGTGCGGATAAAGGGGGTTGAAATAAATGGCGGTTCCCTCTAATTGTTCCCAATTTTACTGTGCAAACTTCTCGGTAGTAGCTACTCGACTTTACCCCGTGTTACACATTGTCTTTAGTTATGCAAACAATTGAGCAGTATGAATCCACAAAAAAAAGAAACTGAACGTAATTCACTATCGAGATCTGTTCTGGTGTTGACTGTGCGATGAGCATGCCTCAGAATCAACTGATTGGTTTGTACACGATCGGAGAACTGGATAGGCGTTCTTTCTGGATTGTAGTTGCTCACGTTTTACTTTCCTTAAGCTGGTTGGGGATAAACTGGTTTCATACAAACCGTGGAGTTTGACGCAAATTCCGTGTAGACATCCACCCCAGGCAATCGGCCTTTCCGAGGGTGCATATCTAGCCATTGCACAACCAAATGTACACTGTAAGGCGACAGTGTATCGATGCATAGTAGCCAGTGGTTTCCAGAGAGCACTTTTATTATTGGATACATTTAGTCGCTGAGAAATCCACATATCCATGTTTGCTGGACGGATTGTTTTGTTAACCGTTTTGTCAGTCACTAGATTGTCCGTGTCCATTAGGGACTATCTGTCTGCGTGCCGTAGACTACCTCGTCGAGGGTTTTAGGCATCGGTTACCGTTAGCCTAGTTCAACCCCTCTGTCGAGTCATTTCAGATAGTCCTTACGCTTTATGAGTTGCATGGGTGTGTTCATCAGATTTCAGTATTCTATCTGATTTCATTCGAGTTTTCTGCTTTGTCTGTCGCATTCCTATCCATTCTGTGTTCCACCTTCGCTTATTTCGAAGGAACTTGAGGAAACGAGTCTTTCTTGTAAACTATTTTTCAGACAGATCTTAATTCACCTCATGCACGGGTAAGAAAGCATGTTTATTGTGTTGCCCAGGGTGCTATTAATCGGTAAACTTTCTTTTGTGAATAAATGGCCCTTCCGCCACTGCTCTCAACAACTTCGTCGTATGTAATCGTATCGAAGATGTGGTACCCGGTTTTCCCTCGTCCGGTATTGACTGTTTTCACCCCACTACAGGGTAGTCTGGATGCTACGTTTCCGCTGATTTGTGATACGCTTCCTTACTGCCTTAATAACACTGACTGTGTTGCTGTTTCATTCAGTCTAAACGTTGTCTGCGGTTGATATATTTTGTTTGATAATCTTCCTCATGCCCAGTCAATTTGGTGTCCGTTTGCCTCGCGATGTTTTCTGATCTGACTGGGATAGACTATTCAGATAAAGGTCCACAGGATGCTGTTCTGTCCATTCGAGCTTGGGAAACCCCCCTTCTCCCCAAAAGGTTGTTTTTCATTTGATTGTATACATTTTTCCTCACTTGTGTTCTGCCTTATTTTCGTGGGAATAACATGTGGTGATACCATGCCGTTTTCCGTATCTCCTAGGCTCCTTTCCTGACCCAGTTTGATATCCAGGAATGTTTTGGTTGATTTTGTTGTTTGCAAGCGTNGCAAGCGTTTTGATGCCCGCGGCAAGTCAGCCCGTAGAATGCGATTGTGATACTCATTGTTTCCGTGACGAGGTCGCCAACTTTGTGTCGAATCCTCGTATACGCTCGAAGTTTAAGCATCTGTTTGCAGAGGAAACATTGCCAGCGTTTTACTTGAGGAACACAAGCTTCCTCAAGAATCGACTTGAGCTATAGCTTTCCTTTTTTCCTGTTTCGCTACTTTACAACGCTCTCCATGGTAAAAATTTACACAGTGCTAAAATTAACTTCTTTTTTGCACGAAGCTTTTCTTGACAAGAGTTGTCTTGCTGTTAGTTCGTAACGATGATCGTAATTGATTTTTCACAGCTTCCCAACGACGCCGAATTATATATCACCATGGATTATAGTGGCCGTGTCTGAGTCAAGGATTCCTTTTACTCTGTCTCTCTACGAAGTGGTCCTTTATATCAGATTGCAAATAAAACAGTGACTTACACGGCTGTGTTTGGTTATACATAGTTATGATGATACATTACAATCAAGCTGTTTTTCAGTGTGGTGTTCTTCTATCTTAGATCGCATTGAACAACGAATGGAGGATATGCTGTGTGTATTAACATGCGAGGTCATCCCCCAGTGACGGATCACCGGAAGCTTTCATCCGTGGCTGTCGAAAGATGAAAGCGCCTAAAGGGACTGCATCTGACTACGTTCGACTTGCGTTAGCCTTAGTCTTGTACTGTATGATAAACGAGATTCGCTTTGATGTCGATAAGGGCGCGTCACAATTGACTCGAGAATCTTGGTCAGTATTTATAGGGTGTCATATCTATAAGTAGTTGTTTTGAGTACTTTGATTCCGCGGTGACTCAATCAATGGCGAGGAGTGTTCACACGGGGACCACGAAAACATGTAAATTCACTTCTGCATTATGAAATAATATTCAGCTATCATTTCGTACAATAAGTTTTTTAAGAACGCTCATCCGAGAGCTTTTTCTACTCCTCATGTTTTTCTGAAGATACCCATCACAACAGTTATAACAAATACAGTTTGGTGAAGCAATTGCTTTTCGATAATTCATTCGCAAGCCGTTTACATGTTCGTTTTCAATTCATGTACCTGATCGTTTGCTACCCTGCCTGAATGATCTTTTCTTGTCAAATTATTCTCAGGGTTTTCATTTGGGTGTGGTGGTCACTATGGTTGAGAAACTATCATCCAATCCACTTGTTGAACTGCCTGTATGTGACCCGAACAACGGAAAGGCGTTGCCGTGCCGCAGTGCAGCTCTCAGCTCCGGGCCAAGGCTGATTATCCGGTCGCGGAAACACAAACCACTGGATGAACATCAGGCTCCCATGGATTCCGGGCTGGCTGTTTTGAATTCAGTCTGTGACAACTTGCTCTCCAAGCGTTATTCTTTCCTGCACACGTTGGGCGAACGTATGCACGTGGTTGAATTTATGGGCGAATCGAAGCTGTGTTTTGACTTTCCAATCGAATATCTGTGAGTTCTTACTCTTATTTTCTTGAGCATATCAGATATACCAATAATTATTATCATAAATATACTTTTGGAATCACGAAATGGGATCATTGCCTTAATTAAAACGTATCTTGTAAACTGACACATAACGGTTTACGAAAAAATACCGTTGGTGTTCAATTGGATAAGCGGATATTTTAAACGTTTACCGGTTGGTTCGTTGGCGAACGTGTGACGTACTACTAGTCGCTGCATTGCACCGGACGATGATGCCTGATATCCTTCTTACCACATGTACCCAGATCGCCTGATACCTTGAAGGCTACTGTAGATTTCGTAAACATTGAGGTTTTCCGTGTTTATGGGATTTTTTCCTTGTTAAAGATGAACTTGATCATAGTTGCAGGGGTTGTTGGGGAGGATGTTACGTCACGAGCGGCATTTGCCAACCTGCAACATATTTGGCACCACCATAACATTCAACTCCCCAACCAGGGACGGGCATACATCTTCACGCCGAGGACGGAAATCGTCAATTTTATTTCACCCCTGTGTCTTCATAGCATTGCTGGTGGGAACATAATGGGAGCAATGACGAGGTTCGTCGTCGTATGTTGACTGCCAACTGTCGTTCTCTAATATAAGTAATTGCTCTGAAACACCTCCATCTACTCCACCATGTCTTGCCTATACCTAGCTATCGGCTTCCTCTCCGTGCTCTCTTCGCATGTGCTGGACAAGGCTGAAAGAACAACCGCGGCGGTCAGATCATTATCTGGGTGTACAGAGGTTAGCTTCGGCTTTGGTTTCCATTGGTGTTGCTTGTATTCCACATTGGGTTAAATGGGATGAAGTCGTCTTTGGTTAGAGACGCCGAGAGATATAAGTCAGAACAGAAGTCAGTTTCACGAGTTCTGTATGGTTTGCCTGTTGAAATCCCGTGCTAGATAACGTACAACGATGAAAAGAATTGTTATTCTAGTCCTTCTGATTCTCTGTATTTGGGTTCTTCCCATCTTTTTTTATTCACACCCAATTCTTTCTCTCTATTATTATTATTGTCGCGTTGGGTTGTTCGCAACCCGGTGATATGTATCGGATTAAATTATTATTATATTAAATTTCACACGTCTGAGGCCAGATTATGTGCCAAACAAATCATGGTACAGTAATCTTTATAAAAAACGAAAAATGTTCCATGATTGGCCAGGTTACCCAGACCAAGGTAGGTGAGTTTTCTTGAGGAATTCGCAACCGGAGTCTTCAGCTAGAAAAAACTTGACAGGCAAGGCAACGGGGCAGTGTGCAAACCGCAATCCATTGGAAGCCGGTGTCCAGTTCATCGGAACATACGCTCTTCAGACGGGATCAAACATCCAAGGTGTCCAATGCACCTCGATGCCCAATCGAGCCAGTGACCACTGCCGCAATCGGGAGGGTGTGTGTGGTTCGCACGCCTCCTCTTGGTTGATTTGGAATCAGGGATTATGGCCAACTTCCCTAGGTGAGCGACCAGTGATCCACCAACCCGGTTATAGCCCCCGATGTCGGCTTTTCTACTTCTCAATTTGGTGGGAAAACACCTCCGTCACGAAAAGACAGTGAGCAGGGCTTCCGCAGCAGAGGCTATTTGAGAGGCTTGGTCGTACGTGAGCATTTCGCGAGATGCAAGTAGAGGGTAACCAGCCGCAAACCATACTGAGGTTTTCGGACAGCGTAATGGAGTTCTATTTCATTAGACAAGCTGGCTCAGGTCAACGACAGTAATCAGTTACCGTCAGCGCGACTCAGTGCAAAAGTGAAGCAGCTATTGAAACAAATGCACCCAGTGTGGTCACGTATTAGCCCTGGTGCACTTCGCTCTTCGATTCAGCCTCAGTTGGTCCATTATAGCCCACGTAACAGGACTCTTTGAAGAACGTAGAGAAAAGAAGCTTAGACAAGAGTTGAAGGCACTGCGACTTGACAAAGTCGATAAACAGGGGATCAAATTGGACGTATATCGCATCCTGCAGCAAACTTTGCTTGTTAATCAGAGACCAAAGTTCGGCGAAAACATTGGAGATCTCAGGAGTGAGCAATCCCGATGAAACAAAAGCGGGACATCTCGACCTCTCAGGAACACAGGAACAGGCGGTGACTACAAAGTTAACTCAGGAAAAGCCTGAGGAAAGTTCGTGAAAAATAGTTTAATTACTAGCGAAGCTGCTGAGCGAGGTCAGGTAGAGCAGCGAAAAACTGCTACTAATGAAGAAAGACATTCTATGCGCGATGAACCTATGGAACTGGTCAAATTCGCCCTTATAAAATTTTGGGACGTAGGATTCAATTTGTCACCAGCTTCAACATACACAGCAAGATGCTGGTGCGTGTGTAAGCATGCACTCGTGCTTGTGAGTGAATATTTATTTTATTTTACTCTATCAATATGATCCTTCGTAAACACATTCAAATTTCATGGGTGAATCTATGCGTATATAGAACAATGTGATATCCCCAGTACCACCAGGTCATTATCTTCCAGGTTGCATGTCTACCCGTTGCATGGTAAAATTCAACCTGCAGGTCAACAGAGTGATGCAGATGGCCTTATTTGGTTGTGTCCAGATTAACACATCACACGATGTGTTCTCTGGAGATTTACAGACAATGAGTTAGCTAAATGAAAGCATCATTGTTCGGCGAGGCAGTGCCTACTTATTTAAAGCTAAGCACTCTAGTGGCCAGTTTTGTATCTGCGAGCCAGATATGCGCCTCCATTGCGTACGACTCCACCAACCTTAGGCTTGCATTACCCTCCAGTGGGTATGCATTTTTTTTAGTAAAAGCCCACTTCACAATGCTTCACTATCAGAAATCCGGTATTAGAAGAAGGATATTTTTTACCGTAACTGGTCATGCCGAGGGTTTAAAGGTCCGAGATTCGAACCCTGTCACCACCGATTTTCAAAAGAGGAACAGTAGGCTCTTCTTGTCGTGGATTTATCCCTTGTACTACTCATCACAGTAAGTTCTGCAATAAGAATATCCGTGCATCAAACTGATTACGTGATGGAGCGCTCCCACTGGAACTTCTAATGGATTGTGACTGTGGTTTTACTGAGTTCATACTTAATATGTGCAGTTTTGTAGAGGATAGGCAGACGTAAGCCAGGTGTTATTTTACACTGAATCGGTTGTGTTTTTGTTTTCCTAGAATTTCACTCACAGAAGTAGGTCACTTTAAGTAATCTAATGAAGCAAATAGGTGCAGGTGAGCAAACACTTGTCAAATCACATGCATTCGCGCCACTGACTTTGGTTCGATGCCATATCCCGCAGTGTCTCCAGCCAAAGACAATCTGAATCTTTGGGGCCCCAGCCGGGGAGCCGGGAAACCCCAACGGAAGCCAAATCCGAGCACAATCTCTTTAACCTTCTGCGCCACGTCATAAAGTGCTCACCTCGCTGTTTCTTCCAGCCTGGACCGATGACTGCGAACTGTACGGTGTAGCAGACGGTGCTCAGGCATTCGTAGGACGTGCCCTAGCCACTTAAGACGATGCAGTGAAATTATTTTGCTCAAAGGAAGACTATGTGATCCTAGCACCCGTCGTCTGCGTTCATCGTTATTCACGCGATGCTCCCATAAGCAGTCGATGTTGCGCAGACAGCGGTTGACAAAGACTGATAGTCACTGGACATGATCTGCTCGGGGGAGGCCAGGTCTCGCAACGATAGAGCAACACGGTGCGTACCGTTGTGCAATACACACGCCCTTTCAGTGAAAGGGATACGTCGCGCCGGCGCCAGGGATGCCGCAGATCAGCAAACGCTAATCTAGCTTTGATCACGCGTTGAAAAATCTCCTCGCCCACACCTCCGCCAGCCGTTATGCAACTCCCAAGGTTGACAAAGCTTTCAACTACTTCCAGAGTGTCAGTACCCTACGAAAGTGCAGGAATGGGTTCCTGCCAATCCTACAACAACACTGCACTTTGAAGGTGCAAAAGGCATACCAAAGTGACTAGCCTCAATTGCCGAACGGTTCAACGAATCTTGAATCGTTGGCACGTTGTTACCCAGTAGGATAATATCATTGGCATACTTTAAGTATACGACTCTACCCCCAGGAAGAAGCCTGACGCAAGCATTCGTTACGTTATGCAGCGCGTTTTGTAGGACATCATCTATGGTAAAATTGAAGAGAAACGAACAGATAGGACAACGCTGTTGCGCCCCACTGGTGACAGGAAATGAGGGTAAAAATTCACCATAGGCTCTTACCTTCCCCGAGGTCAGGTGATAGAACGCTTTTAGGAGTGAGAAATACTTCTCGGGTACTCCGTATCTCCACAAACAGTTCCATAGTGCAGGACGATCAACAGAATCGAAAGTCGTTCTGATATCTAAAGACGCGACAATGCGTTGCCGTCTGTATGCGTGGCGGTGTTCTAGTAGCTGATAGAGAGTCATGATTCGATCTATGCGGCCACATCGTGTACGAAACCCGGCCTGCTCCTCGCGGACTTGCTTCTCACGGAATGGGCATAACCTGCGTAATAAAACGGACGCCAGCAGCTTCGGCGCTACAGGAATCAGACTTATGCCCTGTGCTTGGAACAAGCGTTGCGACAGCCCTTCTTGTAGATGGGTATGGCAATCAAGCTCTTGAGATAGACAAAGATTCTCAAACAGCAAGTAGGATTCCGATCACGTCGCAATTGTGCTTAGAAAATCGTTATGATGCATCAACTCCTCCGGTTACGTTATACACATTTTAGATCAACGATCGGAGTGATCATTTGACTCAGTAAAACCGAATGTCTTATTTGGCTCGCTGACTGATAAACTAGTCTACCTACTTGAGTCAACGTGATCTGAGTCGCATAGAGTGCGACTTCTCCTCAAATCAGAGTTGGAAACACGGATCGCTCCTCCTCCTCCTTCTCTATAATATGCATCACATGAATTATTTCCCGCATGCTCGTTCCAGCTCACTTCGCACGACCATCATTGTCGTGCGTTGTTACTATCTTTCGGGGACGAAGAAAGAAGATGAAAAGCAAAGAAGTAAAATGCAAAGAACAGTAGCAATGTAGAAAATACCGTACGCACGCAAACCAGATGTGCATAGAAAGTGAGTATACACACGAGTCCTCGGGTGGTCTAAAAGCACGAGGACCATAAAAACACCGGTACATAAGGATACTATGTCAGTATACGTCGTAAAACACTAATCACGTGTTCAGCACCAAACAATTCCAGTATACGGTCGTGTAGAAAATCCAACAACTACCTAACAAAATTCCAAGTGCATAGGGTAAAAAGACGTTGCGTAGATGGCACGGAAAAAATAAGACTATGCATCACTATGCATCAGTATAGATGCTCCAGCTCCAGATTAACTCGGTTTGATGCCAGTGCCAAAACGAACAGCACGAATGGAGTTGACTCTACGGTGTATCTGAAACTAGACTCACTTTTCAGCGATTGACTGCTGCTCGTTAATTCCAACAAGAAAAGCGACCGGATGTACACGAAGCTTCACACGCCCACGGGCTTGAATTTCACTTGGTGCACCTGTCCATGCAGACCAAGGTACTGTGAGCTGTGATTAAAATGTCAACCGAGAGAACGTGACAGATATGGTCAAGAGAAAAACCTATGCCCTGTGGGAGATATAAAACGTGGTTAGTGCATAAATTTTGATGCCCAACANCAACAAATGAATTGGACATGTTCAGAGAGTTGGTCCTCACAGATGACCGGTCGATACCTTGGAACAGCAAGGCCATTCCGGTGAAATGATCATCACCACAACTCGGGACTAAGGATGGGTAGCGGAACAACAGAACGAAAAATAAACCAGGCAAAACCCTCGATTAGCAGAAGCGAGAAATCAATTTGTGCTCTTTCATATTCTTTGCAAAACAATTAAATCTATTCGTACACCTCACAATATTCCATTGATAGATCAACATAAAAGCAGATATTTAGACCGGCACTCTCAAGCAAATGTGCATTTCGAATCACAGTAATCTGTCTTCTTGTGTTCGGCACTTGAGCTTACTGTAGTCGAAATGGAGCGGTTAGTACAACATGGAAAACAGCTGAACCATCCGTACTGCTATCTTACATTGATCGACGTTCAATGAAAACGCCAATTGAAGAATGGCCAGCTCAATAGATTTGGAATGTTAATGATATGCAAAACAGGAGTTTGTCCAAGCATCCGACTGACAGCTAAATGAAAGTCGATAAATGAACTATGCACAGATTACGACTTGAGATAGAGGGGGGATGAAGACTACTGAGATGCGAATGAGAAGGGCAATAAGTAGTGCGGATAATCATTGACAGATTCAACAAATGTGGTCTATTTACATCAATTCTGTTAGCATCGTGTTTGTGTTTGTTGTCGAACAGTCAAGTAAACGTTAAATGAGTCAGATCAAACCGTTAGAGAGATACGTTACAAATTCTCTGAGAACCCTCGCTCTGAACTGAGACCGTCGAACGATTAGAGCGAATTTTCGTTACATTCTACATGAACAAGTAATTTAGCCTAGACAGACAGGTGAATTTCCGATATTGAGAAAAAAAACTTAAAGAGAGGAAGACATAGGACGGAATTAGTTTAGAAGTTTATCTAAATATGCGATTCTTTGAAGACAGTACAGACAGGCCAGAAACGAATAAATGCAAATGAAGTAAATAAAAGTGCGTCACATAAACAAACGTAAAATCTCACCTCGCATTCATTTAAACCTGCAAGCCTCGCTTTGGGACAAAAACCGCGATCGGCCCTGCCCACGGAATCTTTAGAGGATTCGGTGGAGGGTCGTAGAATTATCCGGATATTGCTCAAACGATCAACTGCCCAAGCCCAATCTTCGATCATGCCCATCTCGTTGCCAAAGCAACTGATGAGGCCCTCGAATTGAGCTAGCAATCCACAGACGGTCATTTGTTCCCAACGCGTTCGATTCCAAGACGGCACGGCCACAGATAAAGCAGTCAGCAGGGTAGTCAAAGCCTGAAATGTGACCGTGGGAACTTTCAGTGATGCAGAACTCCATTTCATTCATTGTAACTTCTTCATGCTCAAGTCACCGTTCTTCAAAGCTCACTAAATCGTTTTAACATTTTATCTTATTTTGGAGTTCATGGAACTGACATCTACAGATGAGTTACTAATGCTTGCCTCGGAAAAAGACTACTTTCAAATTACGACCGAACGTTCATCGTCTTAAATTCTCTATTCTAATATTCAGTAGTTTGAATTTCACTCCAGTTGAAGCTTTAACAGTAGTGATAATGTTTGTGCCCTGGTACCACTAGTAAATTTCGACCCGCTATACCGAACGTCACATGTTATGAACAAAAAACAGTATACCCGAAAATAAACTAAACTAAACTACTCTGTCTATCTGGGACAAAAATCAGAATTCTGAAGATTTTCCACAGGCTACGCAATGTCATCACGCCTATGTAAGTATCACATTAATCCCGGGATAGATAACAGTCGGAGTGATACAAAACAAACAGATGGCTCAAACACAGGCGCGCACGCACACAAACACATGTAGAACAGTTATCTCAACGTTAGCAATCCGGAACAAGGGATAAGAGTGTCTTTGGGTAGTTCCGATTAATCACGCGTATGAGCACATGCCCATCTGAATGGGGGTGTGGACGTCAGAGTGTGCATGCCACAATGTCAAAGAACAGGTTCAGTTTATATCTGAAACCTGTTATCCTTGTATCAGGCAGGACGAAAATCAAGTTACGCGCGATATCGCTTTACGGATCTCCAGCGAAGGAAGAGAGGACAGGAAAAAACGATCTTTCTGATTTAAGGTCACCGTTCAGATAAGCTTGTTATGGGGCTGGGTGGGGAATAGAACATGGGGTATCAGTGTTATTATCCCAATCACAAACGGAAGTATGTTAACAGGATAGACAAGCGGAAGCAGTATGACTACAAGCAACCAGCTTAATAGACAAACAGTCTTTCAATTTATAATTACTATCATTGATTTTCTCTATTCTCGTTTCGTACCTCGTTCGTTCCTTTCAAGCTTGAATAATTCGTAATTCCTGAAAAAAGTTGTAACATTCAACAGAATAGTAATTACAATAGCTACTAGTGGCAGATAGATGCGTCTGTCATTTCCCAACGCCCTCCTTTGGGTTACGAACAATGCGAG